GCCTCCCGCCTGCAGCTCACGCCTCCCTTCTCCTCCCTCCCGCCCGCCTCTCACCCCCCTAGCAGCACGTGTACTCCTCCTCCAGGGCGCACTCGCCCGCGCGCTCCTCCCTTCCCTGGGGAGGCTCAACTACTGACCAATATCATCGCCCTCCTCCTCCCTTTTCCTCTCCCCCCGCCCCCGCCCCCATGGAGCCGCACCGAGCCCTGCCTCTAGAGCCCTGGGAGGCTGCTGCCCAGAGGAACAGGTTATGGCTCCGCGGGGACTCTTGGAACAAGGGTTTCCATAGAGCTGTCGCTCTTGTCCGAGCTCCCGCGACCTCCGGGGTGACTCGACCCCCCCCCCTCCCGGGGGTGCAAGAGATGCTCGAGAAGATTAATTACTCAAGCAGAGCTAACAACCAGGCTTGCAGCAAGCACACGAGCTCCTGTGCCCGCTGGGACGACTCCTGAGGGGCTCTGGGGGCAGGGAGCCGGCGGTGGGGGCGCAGGGCCGACCTGCAGACCAGGCAGAGGGCAACCTGAGAGTTCTGCATAGAGCGGAGCTTTTGATGTGCTGAGCCTGCCGCTCCGCAGGGCTTTCTGGGTTTTGTTTTGTTTTGTTTTCCTCCTCTGACTGGCTCTCTAGTGTAAACCGATTTAAAAATGGGGCAGGAGGGAGAATTTCAGAAGAGCAGCAGCCGAGGTGTAACCCAGGTACTAGTAGGTGATGGGGACCTTTGGTGGAAGAGCCTCAGCCCAGGGGCTTGGAGACCACCCCCAGGACTGACTTCCTTCGCTGGCCAGTGCTGGCCAGTGCATCAGGCACCTGGCTAGAGCCTGCTGGGGGTTAAGTCCGCTTGAAATCCCGTTTGGAACGAGGCCAGCTGTTTAATTAAATAAATACACACCCACCGTGTGCGGGACCTGTGCCAAGTGCCAGCTAGAGAACAAAACAAAACCAAAAAAAAAAAAGAGTGTAAGATCCAGTCCCTGCTTTTAAGGAATCCTAAATCAAAATGGAGCCAGGCCCTTCGATCAATGCCTGTTGAGTAGCGTCTGTTCTAGAAGTCACGGTTTTGCAGAATGTGCTTCTCCCTTTGCTACTCACAATGTGGGCCGCGGCAGCATGGGCCTTGCCGGGGAGCTTGCAAGAAATTCAGGCTCGGAGGTTCCAGCCAGCTGAGCCAGAATGTGCCTGTTTAACAAGCCCCACATTCACGTGCCAGAAGCATGGCCCTTCCAAGTCTGTCCCAGTGTCTCTAGCCCAGTGGTCGGCAAGCTGCGGCTCGCGCGCCACAGTTTGCCAACCACTGCTCTAGCCCATCACCATCTGCGTGGTTCCTCATGGGCTGAGTAAGCAGGATCCTTTTGCCTGGGTAAGCCTGGCAGAGTGGCACGGGTAAGAGGTACCTGAAGGGCCAGGGGAGGCAGAAGGCTCACTAATTATTTATTTTCAGCAGCCCAATTTCCTTGCCTACAAAGATACTGAAGGCATGAACACGTCTAATTGCCGTGCAAACCCCTAGAGGAAATGCAATGGAAAAGGCTGGAGTTGGCCTCGCAGAGAACAGCCCAGGGCTCTGTGTTGTCAGTAGCGATGCCTTACCACCGAGGCGCACCCTCCACGTGGGTGCCCTGAACCAAGCATGCCTGCCAGGGACGGACAAGACACTTCTCATACTTTTGCCGAATATCCTTCTCATTGACTAGGCTGTACAAGGATGCATTTATCAACAGCAAATAGAAGGCCAGTAGAACAGTGTGAAATATATCACTCAGAAAGCCAGCCAAGGCCTCTTGGCATCAAATTTAAGGCAAAGGAAAAAGTTAAAGTGATCATATGCAGTTAGCCTACCTGTAAGACAGCGTGAGGGTCAGAGACATACTGATTAAAGCAACTCCAATGAACAGAAGGGCATCTGGTTACTCGGATTTAAATTTTTCTGAAAACTTTTTCCATGGAGCTCACGTAGGGCTGGTGAAAACAGACATGTTTTCATCCAAAACAGGCCAAAGGAGTCCTCGGGCGTCTGTCTTTAAACATTCGCTAGCTCTTTCTGGAACATTTCTTTTCGTTGACATCTCTCACCTGCTTTCAGCTAATAGTTAGAGCCCTTGGAATAATTTCACATGCACAGATGGACTCCTTTGATTTGACAGTTTAAGAAGCAATTGCTTTGAAATTGTACTTTTTGCTTCATTTAAACAGTGCCCATTACCACCCAGCCTCTGCCGAAGCTCTAATGGCTCGCCCAGCAGAGGGAAGAATTGGGTTGTCTGTGCTTTTCGGATTCAAAGCAGTCAGGAGTGTTTTCTAAGTCAGCAAGGCCATCGGGACACATGGCAAGCAGGTCCTGGGTTTCTCTTAGGCCCGGGGTCTGGCTTCTGTGACACTGGGTTTGGAGTATCCTTTC